GTTCCATCATGTGGGTCCCAAGGATTGAACTCAAATCGCCATGCAAGTATTTTTTTTTAAAACTGACCAAACCAACTGGCTAGCCCTAGACCTAAATTTTTCTTCACATTTTTAAATTTGTGTTTGTGGACATTTTGCTTGCGTGTCTGCACTATATTGTACCTCGTGGCCTCAGAAACCCTAAAAGGGCATCGGATCCCCTAGAACTGGGGTTACAAACAGTTGTGAACTGCTGTGTGGGTGTTGGGAACCCCACCTGGGTTCTCTTTGAAAGCAACCTTTGAGCAGTCTCTCTAGCTCCTGGATTCTATTTAATCTGTCTTGTTGCAGTTTTATCTAATCAAGAACATTCTGCCCCTGAGTGGCCAGAATCAGTCACTGGTGATTGCAGTAGAGAGGGGGATAAGAAGAAAAGATGTTAGAATTAGAACAGCTTCTGTGGGAGTGCCTGAAGGGCTCTCCTCATGTTGACAGGAAAGGGTGAACTGCTTCCCAGTGGTAGGTGATCGCTTCCGGACTGAAAGGAGCCTTTTGATAGGGTGGCTTGCTAGATGTGAAATACTCTAGCAAGGCTTTGTAGGGTTTGTTTACAAAGAAAAAAAAAAGATACAAATACTGTATAATGGCACATGCCTTTTAACCTAGCACTGGGGAGGCAGAGGCAGGTGGGTCTCTTGAGTTCAAGGACAGCCAGGGCTATGAAGAAAGACCCTATACAAGGTAAGTGCAAATATATAAGCCTTACTGGTATTTTAATTCAAACGTAAGAATAGTAGGAAGTAAAGTATGGGGACTGGAGTGATGGCTCAGCAATTAAGAGCACTGGCTGTTCTTCCAGAGGACATGAGTTCTGTTCCCAGAAGCCAGGTGGCAGCTTACCGACTACCTGTAACTCTGCCTCCAGGGAATCCAACATCCTCAAACAGACATGCATGCATACAAAACACATAAAATAAAAATAAATCTTTTTTTTTTAAAATAGGGCGTGTGTTCATTGCTTCAGATGCAGATCCTAGAATAGTTTTAGTATTTTCTTTAGTGTAAGTGGAGTATATCTGTGAAAATTAGAGGACAGATCTCAGGAGTGGGTTCTTTCATTGGTTCTAGGGATCAAACTTGGGTCCACAGGCTTGCACAGCAAGTGAGCCATCTCACCCATGTGACCATGTTTTTTGTTATTGTTGTTTTTGTTTTGAGATTGCCTCTCTCATAACCTCTAGCTTGATATATTTAGCTTAAGCTAGCCTTGAATGCTTGCTCCAAGTGCTGGGATTATGAATATGCCTCCCCACCAATTGTGGACTAAATTATTATATAGAGAAGTGATAGGTCCCTATGGCTAAGAAAGGAAGGTGAGAGAGAGAGAGACTACAGTGGGGAATGGTTAGTTGGCTGACTTATATTTACTGTTGCAGCTGGAGTGTGTTCAGTTAGCCTAGATACTCAGAGGTCTAGAAACATCAAGTAAGAGTGCGTATTGAGGGGGTTGGAGGGATGGCTCAGAGCTTAAAAGCCCTGTTTCCAGAGGTCCTGAGTTCAATTCCCAGCACCCACGTGGTAGTCCCTTGGGATTCAGTTCCCTCTTTTGGTACATAAATGTACGTGCAGACAAAACCACCCATATACAAAAGTACTTTTTTTTTTTTTAACTACATATTGAAACAAGATGGCTTTAAGGGCACACTTTTGCATCCACCCGCTTCGGTGTAGGCTGGACTGGTTGATTGAGGGTCAAAATGTTTCCACCTGGTTGTAAAGGTTCCTTCTTTCTGTTTGTTTTACTTGATGGAGTTGTTTGTGGGTTGTTTGTTATGCAGGGAATTAAATCCTTGGCTTCCTGGACACTGTGTAGCTGCTTTACTCTAGAGTTGCCAGCCTGTCTGTATTCTGTCATTTTGTTTTTGTTGTTTGATCTTCTGTAGTTCTAAAAATAAGGGTCATTGGTGCCATCCTGACTTGGTGGCTCTGCAGGGACCCTGATTTAGACAATCCCTACTAGTGCTTCTCATTCCACTTGGGTCTGCAGACCTTTCCTTGAGCTAAACTGTCACTGTTGTTGGGTCCTTCTCCAGGTCGAAGCTGTAATTAGTCTCTCAGTTCATAGGTCCTGCTATTGCCCAGTACCAATACTGGATTATGGTCTTTGTCCCTGTACAGGGTTGGTCTACAGCTGGGCTGTCTTTTCTTTACCCTCTTGGCGTTTGAAGTAATAGCTTTTGATAATTGGGGGCGGAGGGGGGGCAGGGAAGATCGGGCACACTATATTATTTACATGGTTTTAATTATATAGCCTTAGGGCCAAGATGAATCTCAGATTTTCATTGCAGCAATTAGACTCTTGCTTTCTAATAAAACAAAAAAGTAGGAGTTTCACCTGGGTTAAACTGTGGTGTTCCTGCCCTCTTCTTCAGGTGTAGGTGAGATTGAGAAAGGGGTGTGACTCATTCATTCAAAATTAATTTAAATCATTCTCAGAAATTGATGTGAGCTGAGAGAGGTGGCGCATGCCTTTAGTCCAGCACCCCAGAGGCAAGCAGGGTCTGTGAGCTGGAGGTCAGCCTATTCAGTGCATCTCTTCCAGTTAGTACATGGCTGTGACTAAGACACTCACATTACTTTATTAGCACCAGGTTCTAACCAACTAAACTAACTGGTCTGCCCCCAAAATTATTATAGAATTTAGCAATTGAATTTATATATAGTGTTTTAATTTGGGTTGTTGGGACATTACTGGATGTTTTGACAAAGTTCTCATCAATCCCATTTTTCCTCTGATTAATTCACTTCTTTTCTGTGTTCCACTGCCTGTTGATTCTGCAAAGACTTGGGTGGCAACAAAGCTTAAGCACATTTGCTCATATGTCTAGGAAGAGATGTGGGCACAGTGAGGAGACTGCTGCCTCGGGCATTTCCCTCTCTGCTTTCCAGCACACCCAGCTTTTGAGCACATTAACAGCTTTGTGTACTGAAGAGATGTTGCTCACCTGAGTCCTGACTGACAAGACATTATTTGTGGCAGGAGTTGTTCCAACTGAGGCTGAACAACAAAGCGTTGTGTAAAATCTGCTGCCTGAGGGTCTACTGTGTGCTCCCAGCAGCATGACCTGCAAAGTTGAGGTGTCCTGGAAGTGATAGATGAACAAGAGTGCAGTTCTATTAGGTTGGACAATTTGCCCTTTTAGTGCCTTGTGCTAAAAGGAGGGTCTCCTTGGTAAGGACCTGTTAGACCCTGCTAGTATAACATACCGAAAGCCTGAGCAGGGCTTGGGGACCATTGATGAATTGGGAGAGAGTATGTCACCACTCTGCCCCTCTGTATGTACTGTAGGGATTTTGTTTTTTCTCTGTTTTCAAAATGCAGTCTCCTTGTTGAGGTTTCTAGTTCAAAAAGGTGTTGAGGCTTGGGCGGTCCTTCTTACACATTTTTAAACAAAAAGTTAGATGGGTAGCATGAATAAATTCTGGAGCCAACTACTGATTTGAACTTACTCCTTTTTTTGTTATTATTTTGTTTTATTTTATTTTTGGTCAAGGTGTCACTATGCCCGACTTGTTTCATTTAGGGTATAGGTGGTTTCTAGTTCATGGTCCTTATGCCTTATCCATCTGAGTGCTGGAATTGGGGTTGCCAATGTGTTATCACCTAGCCCAGCCTGACCCTTAAGTACTTAAAGATAGTGGCCAGAGGAAAAAACATAGGGGACCTTTGAGTCCTTTTTCATGTCATGTGTAGTAATTCACATGGACTAGTATTTTCTTTGGAACCTTGTTCCTTGGGTTGGTATAAGGCTCAGGGAGTGTGATGGAGAAATAAATGGTAATTGGTGCCCTTCTGGGGAAGGACTGCTCACTCTAGTCCTGGTCTTCAACTTACAGGAGTTCATCTGGAGAATGATGAGGCTGGGGATGCTGCTTTTCAGTGACTGTTTTAATGTTGGGAGACCCAGCAAGCTTTGGTACTTTATACTAGAGTGTCTGGGACTTGCTTACGTGAACATCTCCGGGTTCAGGCTTGCGGCCAGTAAAGGTGATGGTTATAGTTAGAAAATTGAGATTTGTCTAATCCCAACCGCTGGTGCTTTGGTGTGGATTTTTTGCTGACTTTGGTCTTAAAGCTACTTTATTCTGCAAAATTATGTTGAATTTAGACTATTTAAACAGTTAAGATCATATTCTCAGAGACTTATAAAAATCTCACCTCAAATTGTACTAATTCAGTTTTCTAAAACACAAGTACTTTTTGTTTTTAAGAAACTTGGAAAATGGATCTCCATTTTTTTTCTGCTTTTGTGTTTAGAACAGTCGAGCAACTTTTTGATTTCCTTACATGCTTCACACACAGACACTCACTCAACAAGCATTTTGTTTTTTAAGAGATCCCAGAAAGCCTACAGCAGTCACCATGTGCTCTGAAGCCACAGCATGGCTTCCCCCATCTAATATCTCGGCCATGGCCCACGTGAGCCCTTTGCCCAGGTGTATTGACACCTAAGGAGCAGATCACAGCATCATTTGGAACTTCGATTTGAGGAGATAGAGTCATTAAATGTCATGTTGCTTTTGTGAGAGTGTTGTTACCTTGACGTTTCAGAAAGCAAAATCTTCCCTTCAGCGCTGTGTGGTACTGTGACGCTGTGGTGTTCTGAGTGGCTTTATAGGTTTGTAGGTTCAACATCACAAGGAGAAACACACTTGATTTGGCTTGAGATAGCCAACTGATACTGTTTCATTCTCCAACTTCAAATTCATCTCTTAAAGGGTTGTTAAAGCCTAATCAGACTTGTGCGCCTAGACTCATGGTACAAATGTCCTCTAACAAGATAGGAAAGGCTGACAAGCACTCACTCTGCCTGCCTGCCTGCTTTAAGTGCTCCATAAACTAGATGAGTACATCTTCTCACCTGAAGGAGCCAGGGTTTGGGATCCTGTCATCAGTGGAATTAGTAACTTTGACAAGTTGTTCATGTTTTGACTTTGACTTAAATTTTTTTTTCCAATAGAAACTATGTTCCAACTTCCTGTCAACAATCTTGGCAGTTTAAGAAAAGCCCGGAAAACTGTGAAAAAAATACTTAGTGACATTGGGTTGGAATACTGTAAAGAACATATAGAAGTAAGTAGCATGCCATTTTTAAATTTTAATGTGACTCAGCTTCTGATCCGTTACTGTGTCCATGGGCAAGATGTTCACTGTTAGGTGTGAGGGTGAATTTAAGTGCACTTTCAGCTTCACCAAAACCTTCTTATTTAGTAGAGCTTACTCCCTTTCCTGAAAGTGTGGTCATCTTTGCATCCTGAGGCAAAAACAGTTACAGTGTGGAAAATATACACAGTGCAAGAGGTGCTTTAAAACTATATATGAACTTGTCCTTGAAATAACCTCAGGGGACTCTAGGAATTCTTATCTCCAGTCTATGAAATGGGGATTGGAAGCAGTGATTTCAGGCTCACAGTTAGGGAAGAGGCATTGGGGACTGCAGAGCCTGTTTTCCTTCTCATAAGCCTGGGTTGTTTGCATTGACCTGACTGTTGAGGCACGGTTGTCTAGGTGTTTGTCATCTCTTTCCTTAGGATTTGGCGTTTGTCAGCCTTCTGGCCCATCAAAGACTTATCTTGCCCTTGTGTAGCAGTTTGGCCTTTCCAGACTGTTCCCTAGCCTTTTTATTCTGAGCTTTTTTCAAGCCCCCTGGGATAGACAGAGTCATCTCCTCCTTGTCCAGATCACCTTGCTACAGATCTTACAGGTAGTTGGACCCAACCTCCAACTGAAGCCTTTAAAGCAATTTCCCCCACAGTTTAGGTTTCTACTGGCCAGACTAAAGTGGTCTTGCTTAGCCATTTATCCCACTGCCCAGCACAATGCTTGGCATGGAACAACTGCTAAGGACACGGGTCGGGTAGAATTAATAGACATTTCATTCATGAACAAGGTCTCTTCTCCTGAATCCCACTCAGAGTAGTCAGGGGTGTATCCTGAAAACCAAAGCTTTTCAAAAATGGGCTTCTAGTGATTTGTTCCAGAGAGGAAGTAACTCTTCAGAGACACATGGATCTGTACTTGGGGGTGGGTGAAACCTTTCCAAATAAATATGCAAATAGTCAAGTATCTTTCCTATCCTGTACCGGGTTTGCTCCTCCCGCTAGAGCTAATAGGTACTCTGAAGTTTGCACGTGTTTAACTTTCTACCAACAGCTGTGAACCATTCACGCTGCTTTCTTCTTAGTCATGGGAGGATTTCACATTAGAGTGTAAGTTGAACGGCATGTTGCTTACTTTCTTGGTTTAAAAATCTGAATTTTCTTCTAGATCCACCCTTCCTTCCATTTATTTATTTATTGATTTGCTTGTTTGTTTGTGTTGCCAAGCTAGACTCTTGCTCCTCCAGAGCTATTAGCACACGCCCCTCCTCCACCCAGTGTTGTGGCTGGTGAGTTAATGTGGTTAACGGAGCTGCTGTAGGGCTAGAGCCTTCCCATCTGCACTTGGGCAGTTCCTCTGGAATCCTGGCCATGTGCCTTTCGCATTTGCTGAGCCTCGGCCCCACTGCATTAGTTCTCAGTGGTTGACCCTCCTGTGCCTGGTTAAAGAGTTAGAATTTAGGTGTCAAGTCAGGTTGGGCTTGATACCACTATGGTTTTTTTTTTTTTAATTTCTCTCACTGTTTTTCTAGGATTTTAAACAGTTTGAACCTAATGACTTTTATTTGAAAAACACTACATGGGAGGATGTAGGACTGTGGGACCCTTCACTTACAAAAAATCAGGTAAGTCTCCTAGGACTGTCCATTTCCCACTTGAGCCTTTCATAGTGACAGCTCTGATTGGGCAGTGGCCTACCCTGGAAAATGAATAGTTGCGCGGGCATCCCATTTTCCTGAGTATGAGGCCCCTGAGGCGTCACTGGACAGAAACTTCAAGCTAAAAGAATGAACAGAACTTTTGTTTCTTAAATTTCTAAAGTTGGAACCAAGGCTGGAGCTCAGTAGTTGGAGCATTCCCTGTCCTGTACAAAACCTTGGTTTTGCTCTCCAGCCTTCTATTTACACTTCTTTATCCCTCTGATGACACCTAATCTTTAGAAGATGGTGTAGTAGGTAATCCCCTAGAATGGCAGTGACATGGCTATTTTTTGTACCTTTAGGATAGTTACTGATGCCAGTGTGTCCATAATTAAGATGTGATAATAGGCCAGACGGAGATGGCACACAACTTTAATCCCATCACTCAGGAGGCAGAGGCAGGCAGTTCTCTGTGAGCTTGGCTTGGTATATAGAGTGACAGACAGAACTGTTACACAGAGAAACCCTGCTTCAGAGAGAGAGAGAGAGAGAGAGAGAGAGAGAGAGAGAGAGAGAGAGAGAGAGAATATTGTAAATGGTACTTCTGTCCATGGAGAAAAGTGGATGTGAATTCCCTTTCTAATTCTGTACTTAATGCCCTACGGAGAGCTGCTGAGCAGCATTCTTAAGAGAAGGCCTTCCTAGATGATGTTTGGTTTTGAGGGCAGGGTCTCTCTAACCTGGGCCATACTGGACTCAGAAATCCACCTGTCTCTGCCTTTAGGACTGGGATTAAAGACATACACCACTACATCAGCTGAGGAGCTTTGAAAGAGCGCAGAGAAACTCCTTTTGGTTCAAAACAGTTCATGAAACACACACAAGAAAAGATGACTGCTTATCGTGTATATATTTACCTATTTGATGTCTTAATTCTGAAAACTGATCCCTAATGTCAGTGTGCTCTGTAGTACACCATGGCTTCTGAACACTCTGCCATCTGTATATAAGACGGTCTCCAGATAATTTCTTAGCTGAATTAGAGCAGCTGCTAATTAATTCATTGGCCATTTATTTGTTGGTTGGTTAGTGTTTTTTGATAGAGAGTTTTCTTTTTGTATCCCTGGCTGTCCTGGCACTGTCCTCACCAGGCTGGCCTCGAACTCAAAGATCTACTTGCCTCTCTGTCTTCCCAGTGCTGGTATAAAAAGCATACACCACCATAATCTGATTTTTTTTCATTAGCATTTTTGAAGGGAAAAAAGAACTTTTGATGTGTGTCTGCTTTAACGTATATTTGTGTGCTGTGTACATGCTTGCTACCCTCAGGGGTCAGAAGAGAACACCATGAAACTGCATAAACTACCTTGTAGTTGCTGGGAATCAAGCCCAGATCCCCTGTGAAAGCAACCAGTGCTCTTCACCACTGAACTGTCTCTCCAGCCCTTATTGGCCTTTTTGAAGCTGCTCTGCCAGAGAAGTAGAAAGAGGCCATTGTTTCCCGTCTGGAGCCTTTTGATCCACACCGAAGTCTAAATTCACTGTGCTTTAGATTGGAAAAGAAACTGTAGGGATTTTTTGTTGGTTTTTTTGTTTTGTTTTTTTAATGAGAATTGTTGGATGGTGGGAAAGAGAAAAATATACCTGTGTTGCTTATAAAGGTATATGGACCTATGAGTTCCCGTGTCTGAAGCCTGAGCAGATTACTAGACCACAAAGTGAGGGGTTTACATGGTTTCTTTTTTTTTTTTTTTTTTTTTTTTTTTGCTAGA